TCTCAAATTAATGCACTGCTGCAACAACAGAAGAACGACAATACTTGCAATGATTTCATTACTTTCACAAAAATATGAAAGACAAAGAATACTTCCAGCATCGCTTTTTCAACTACGTCCATCAGTCAAACATATAAAAAATCACGACAAAGCGTTGAGAGCAAAAGTAGCAGAAGAATACTCGCAGTCAAGAAATAGTTCTGAGTGTGATATATTTGGGTTAGAGGGGTTCAATAAGCAAGCAAAACCATATAAGCCGAAAAAGTAATTATAATAGTAATTTCTTTTTGAAAAAATTTTGCGAAATTGTTTGGAAGTAAATAAATCTGAATTAATCGTCCGTTATTGGAGTAGTCAAGCTGAAAAGTTTTACAAAAATTATATATTATTACAACTAACAAAATTTTAGTTGAAACAGGGATTCTGCTTCTTGCGAAACCGCCGAAATGTTACTTCAACTGCCTGTTTTTTTCCGGTTTACTGTCACTAATCATACCATAACTCTTTATGCCGGAAAGATTTTGCAATTTGTAAAAAAAATTTGTTATTTCAAGAGTTTTACCACTTTGCTGAACCTGTAGGAGATAAGCTTTCGAAAGAAGTAAAAAGGAAAATTTGTTGCGAATAAAGAAAACTATAGGTTTTAAAAAATGGCCATATCAAAGGTGAATTGCGTTTTTTTTTTTTTTTTTGCGCTTTAGAATGGTCTAACTTTGCCGCCAGTGCACTTTTTGAGATAAATTCTTTCGATTTTATAACGGCTATTGAGTGCTACAAATGTGTAAAAATGAAGAAGATCTGAGAGGTTGAGGTGTAAAAGTGTGCGACTTGAGATGGACTGGCCAACATATGTGTACATACTGGAAGCCTTTTAGTAAAGGTAAGCGAAATAAAATACATTATGAAGTTCAAAGAAGGAGTCACTTGAATGAGCTGCATCCTGGTATAAAAAACTCATTGAAAAAAAAAAAAAAGAAGAAACCTTTGACGTTATTTTCCCTAAAAGTATTTGTCGGAAATCAGCGGTGAGGATAATATGTGGCAACACTATAGTACTTCTTAGCATAACATAACCATTTCTCGATATATAGTTAACTCTTATCTTTGTTGCTATCGTAAAATTACTACCCATTACGAATTATTGCTGTTTTTTTCTTTCTGTATAGATTCATCTTTTTTTAAAGTTAGTAAATTTGTAAAACTGTTACAGTCATTTATGTGGGCTTAGTGATAGGCAACAACCGAATTAAGTGTCTACTGACTGCACGTTTGTGTAGCCGGAGGAAGTATTCACGTTGGCATTTATTTGGTTTATTAAGTAAACTTTTTTCTTAAAAGACTTATTGAGATTTCTCAATGCTGAAGGCCACCAAAGAAGTTTGGTAAAACCTTTTCAAGTTTGCATACTCTATAAGACTTTGGAAATATAATATTTTACAGCTGAAAAATGGTAACGAGTTTTGTTGTAATGTACCTGAAACAGTATAGCTGCTTCACCGTCAAATCCATCTTTAGAACCACAGCAATGTATCCTCACGAACAAATTTGGGATCTATGGAGTGAGATCCGCAAATATTACGCAAGCAGTAGTTGCCCTTTGGAAATTGAAAAATGCAGTTACTGATCTAACAGTCAAGCCTGAACATTGGTGTCTACTACAGACTATTTGTACTCAGGCCATTGAGGCAGCTGCTGAATTATTGCCCAGGTAGGTTTTGTATCTGATGCTTTCTTATTGTCCTGTAAGGCTGTCGGAGCTTCAAAAGTTGTTTACGCCATACGATTACCGCCAGTTTGTTGGTTTGGCGGTCGTTCGATGACGTTTTCGACGATACGTGCACGTAATTGGGCCGCTTATAAGGCATAAAAATTTGCGAGTTTTTTTTAAAATTTTTGCTTTTTATCTACCTATATATATATATATATATATATATATATATATATATATAATATATATATATATATATATATATATATATATATATATAAACTAATATATATATATATATATATATATATATATATATATATTTATTTATTTGTTTATTTAATATATATATATATATATATATTTTATTATATATATATATATATATATATATATATATATCATATATATCACGGGCATCACTACTTTATAAGTCTGATTTATAGTCAAATGATTAGTTTCAAATGTTGAAACTACTTATCTGAACAGTTATATGAGACTTTTATCAAATGCGTAGGCTTACTGTACTTTAAACTCAGTGTCTCAATAGCTGTAGAGAGTGAGATTGAAGTCTCCAGTAAACGAAGGTTCTGTACCACAATTTCTTGTTTCTTAGTTAGAATTGCAAACGATGGCCGTTTGTTAACTTGTCCAATTCTTTATTTTTGTTTATCATTTTGTTGTCGCGTTCTTACTCTTTTGCTGTGGTACGAGGAAATGATGATATTTCCAAACAGCTGTTATATTCAATGTATAACTTTGATTGGAAGCGAAGCCGAAGTGAAGGAAAAGTCCCGAAAGCTGTGCGAAATCGAATAAAAAAACAGTTACAGGTTTGCTTTCTTTATTCTCTGCAACATGAATCTTTGAATAAGGGTGCTACAGATGTGATTGCTACAACGAGTGGTATTTAAAAAGTATTTGGAGCGCAGAAGTATGGTTTAACGATTTAGGCCAACATGTGACTCAAGTAATCTCTGAATAATTTTTAGCGCTGTTTTTGCTTAGCGTGCGGAGCAGAAGGGCAGGAAACGACAGCCAATGCTGGTCAGTTGCTACAAGATGTTCATAGTTATGTGAGTGACATCTAATTTTTCGTCTAATGTTTTTGGGCATTTCGTTTTGTTTGGTTACCTTGTTTTTATAGGAGGTCTCAATAATTTACTGAAGGCTACCGTAATTAGTCTGCTTAATTTTTAATTCAGGCTTCATCAATACCTGGAGGTCTCAGCTATCTTCTATTCTGCATTCACGTGCTTTTGGGGCGAATGTGTGAAAAAAGCCTAGGAAAGGGTTTGTGGTCAAACTGCGTTCGGACAGTTGTCGATGTTTCGCTTATTGCATTTCATAAAGAGCACCCAGAATTACTCTATTATCTTCTTTATTTTTGTCAAGAGGTATCTCTGAGGGCCTTGACGGTGAAAAATTTACTAGAATATTGGTTCTTCACTAACTAGTTCTCCTAATGTATAATTGTTTTAATTTGTTATAGTTGTGAAAAATACTTCTTTCTTTGTTTATCTTTCGCTTGTTTTTTGACTTTTATGACCTTATTTCAGACTTCTCAACTTTCTTTGGTACGTATGAGGATTTACAGTTGCAAACTAGTTAAGCTCTTGTTTTCGAGAAGTCGGTCATGCAAATTTTTTCTATTATTGGAGCATAAGCAAATTCTGTGTTCAATTTTAAATGACCGGGAGTTTGATTCTGTTAGTTTTTGTATCTGTTTTGGTAAGTAATATAATCAAGTTCTTGCATATTATGTAAGAGATTGTGAAGGCTACGGTATTGGCAACGATCTTATAATCTTTTTATTTTTGTGCGGCGTTATCTTTTCTCTTTGTCATGTACTTGGTTTTTCTAAAAAGGTATTGTACTGTAGAGTGCATCAGTACGTGCGGAAGCGTTACGGGGAATAGCTGAAGTACAACAGGACAGTGATGCTGCTAAGTTGGAGTTGTGCTTCAACCAGTCCTTAAAGAAAAGTTCCATAATTCTTTCTCTTGTTTTTAATAAGATTAGGGAGTTTTAGCGTAGTGTATAAACCATTTGTAGTTATTGTTGCTCATCTGCAAGATGTCAGTGAGGAGTGCCGAATGGCGGCGATAGAATCGTTATATTTGGAGAGTGATAGTAATATCAGGGCACTGGTGAGTTTATTCTACATTAGGATTTTAATAAATTCTGCTTAAAATTAAACGTTTTTGAGGTATTCGAAATGTTCTAATTTTAAGGTAAGCCATGCATTGACTGAACGCGATGAAAATATCCGAAGATATTGTTTATTTCGTTTAGCTAAAAACGTAACGATATATTCCTTAACTCTAAATGAACGGGTTTCACTTTTAAAGTGTTTATTTTCGTCAGGTTTAATTTTCGTTTATTGTGTCTCTCACTGTTGTTAGCCGCTGTTAGCAATTTGTATTAGTTTCCTCTGTTTTTCTTTTTTGGTTTATTTATATTTAAAGTGAAATCACAGATTCCGGTGTCTTAATTTAGTTAGTGGTAAGGATAGTTTTTACTCTCTTTTTTCTGGAAATTTGTGAACTTATAACTAGTTGGTTATTTATATCTAGTTGGTTTCTGGACTAGCAGTTCTTTTTTGTAAGGATAGTTTTATCATAAGCTTTTTAGGATTAACGCATTCGGAAGTATGTTTTGAACTTTTGAAAAGTTGGATGATTAGTGCCAGTAGGGCATATATCGGTGGTTGTGAAGAAACTCGACTCTTGAAAGCGGGGCCTTCGGAAATGTTGGGTCTGTTGGATATTCTTAATGAAGAAGAGGTAATTTTAAAATTGGTATGAAGTGGAGCTTTTGGTGATTGTGAACACTCGTATTATCTTTTTTTTTTCTTTTTTAGCTGT